GTTCGACGGCACTACGTCGGTCAGTCCTAGGAGAGATACCTCGTGGACATCTTCCAGTCCTATGAGAGATACCCGTGGACAATCTTCCAGTCCTAGGAGGAGATACCTCGTGGGACATCTTTCCGTAGGAGAATACCACGTGGACATCTTCCAGCCAGGAGAAATCGTAAGGCTCTACAGAGGGTGGTGAAAACTGCACAGCACATCACCAGGACAGAGCTGCCATCCATGGAGGACCTCTACTCCCAGAGGCTCAGGAAGAAATCCCTCTGCATTATCAAAGACCCCCATCACCCCAGCCACAAACTGTTCTGTCTGCTGCCGTCTGGCAGGCGCTACCGCAGCATCAGGACTAAAACCGCCAGACTCAGGGACAGTTTCATCCCACAGGCCATAAGACTATTAAACACCTGAGCTTACCCTATTTTTATTTTTATTTGTTTTTTGGACTATTTTATTTTAATAAAAATGTATGTCTTGTAATTGCACTGTGGAGGAACCTGTGACCTAAGTCTTTAATTCATTGCATAACGACACCGTAGTTGCGTATAGGACATGACAATAATTATTTGAATCTTGAATTTAATAAAAGTCAGCAGCAAAAAGTTAGCAGCCAACTGAATGGGAAAATATTCCCAGATATAGGTCGCAATAAAACTGAACACAGATTCAGTATTTTGAGACATAGACTATAGTTATAACTTGTGTTTAACACAAGATAACCTAAAGCTTAAAGCTTTTTAATGGCTCAATTATTATTGGTTGGATACACATTTTATGAAAGTCGGTGGGCCATCTGCTTTAATATTCCTTGTTATAACTCAAGTCTACACTACTTAAAAACAGTTTTTAAGAAATGTTTTACTTTGAAAGACAAATCACTTCCGGTGAGCTTTGAGGGTGTCACTACCATAGTGATCACTACGCGTTTCGACGGCTCCGGAAGATTACTCGAACAAAGCCAGGTGCTCGAAGCGGTAACCTGACAGTTTACAGAATGGGCAGTATGAATCGAATCGTGAATTGGTGCCTCCTTTTATGTAAGTATTGATTTTTCTAATTGTTATTTGAAATCGAAACCTGTTAACTGCAGAGCGAGGAGTTTATTGTTTATAGTTGTTCTGCTTAGGCTACTCAGAAGTTATAATAATAAACAGACTCATTATAATATTGCGTCACTGTTATTTACTCATCTGTACAAGCTTACTCAGCTTTTTAGCTTATTGTAGAAAATGGGAAATCATTGTTGTAGAATAATGCATGACGTAGGGCTATAACGTCGCGCGACATTGTTTGGGTTATAGATGAGTAATGCTTAACCGGTAAGAACAGGTTTGAGGGGGTCAAATTATTAACTATGTACCATTAAAAACATGTTCTATATGTTTAGCCTTTTTATAGTATATTCACATTAGGGCATTTTCTCTACTATTGAACTTCGCTGGTGTGCCTGAAGCATGTCTGGAAGATTCCCCTATCGGGAGGGGATTTTGTTTTCTGATGAAACCGACAAGGAGGAGGGAATGGCCGGGGGGAATACCTATACTGTACTGGAGTAGAGTCTGCACCATAGGTCTGAACACAGATTAAATGGATACATGAACGCTACACCATGTGATAGAAATGGAGTTTTAACTTTGCACGTTTAATCCTTAAAACTCCGTGTGTGTATTTCAGAATGGAAGTCAGGTATTATTTTAAAGTAAAGGAATGATATTTGGGGCAGCACAACCACAAAGGGCTCAGTGATGTTTAGATCTACTTTCTCAAAAGTTAAACAAGATCATTTGAGGAGCTTTACAAGGAATCAGACTTCAATTTTGTGCATGCGTGCATTGTCACTTTCATAGTTATTCAGGGGTCCTTTATTTTATTGATTTACTTGCACTATTATCTGTTTTATTGTGTTGCACTGTTTGAGGAGCATGTGACCTAAGATTTCCATTGTCATAACTACACTGTAGCTATGTACAAATGACAATAAAGCCTTGAATCTTTATCAATTTATCAATTTCTATCTAGTATTGATGCTTATAAATCTTTGAAACTAAATCTTGCTTCTGCTGTTATGTTTCTCTATTTTCTCCCAGCTTTCTTTATACAAGGGTGCAGTGCACAGGACATTACCTGCATTGTGGTCCAGGATGGAGACCTCACAAAGTACAGCATCTCAGAAGGCCATCGTGTCTCTGAGGCAGAGAAATTTGCCTACTCCTGGGCCAATGCCAGTGTAAGTTAGACAAAGCAGCATCGTCTAGCTCAGCGTTTCACTTCTCTGACCAACGAGATTTTTGTCCGTGGGAAAATCCCCAGTTTAACAACATCAGATAACTGCTTAAAATTTTAAAATAATACTCATTTGTTATAATATCACACACGAAAATATTAACGCTTGTATGGATGAATACAGTTGTATCCTCACTTGATCAGACATGTACGTAAGGTTGTTTTACTGTTTGTGTTATGAACAGTTTTTTTACTTTTTAGGACCATGTGATGGCGAATCAACAGGACAAAAATCCTGAGCTTGTGGCGAACAACAGCGTCAACGATTTCACAACCCACAGATGCTTTGAAGTGGTGCTCTTCAAACGTACATCCAATGAGGTATTGCACTTTTACCTTTTAAACTTCACGTTGATAATGGCATTATAGATTTGCCATTTAAACAGATAATCATTTGAAAATGTCTCCCCTCTACTAAAGTAATCTCACGGTATTGTCCCTTTGCTTCCTCTCTATAGGGGAATGCTTTCACAGCTGACTGTACAAGTGAGTACCATTTCCTTCACTTTACTAAGTGTGCAAAGTTCTTGCGGTCTTCTTTGTGTCCGATTTTCCTCCATTTGTATTTTTAATATAATTGTTGAATGTTGTCCTTTATTTTGTGAAATGTGTTTCCAATGTTCTGATTTCTTCTTTTTACAGCCAACTGTACTCGGAGTGCTCCCAGACAGTCTGAGGGACACAACGGTAAGGATGATTTAAACAACATAACTGATGTTAGGTAATCTTTGCCATCAATGCGGTCGATATCACAGGGTTACATCATGTGTGTACTTCCTTTTAGACGGCATGAATGAAACAAAGACTTTTGTTTCATTCACAAGTTCACAACTAATAGAGAGCAAGTATTTGTATACAAATATCTCCGGGCTGCCATATGTATATAGGTAATATACAGTAACTGTATATTTAAAATAAATATTGACAATTCCCATTCCAGTATGCACAAATTGTATAGTTGAAAGCAACAAAAAAAGGCATGTTTTTGTGATACATTACATTTGAATACATGTAATAAATAGTAATCTATTGGTATATTAACTGATTCTCTTCTCTTGACAGTGGCGGTTCCTGTTGTCAGTGCTGTTGTTATCCTGCTGCTGGCCGTGCTCTGTGTCTTCCTGTTCTACAAATTCAAGAAGAAAGTTTCCAGGTTTGTTTTTAAACAAATCAGTTTGAATGAAATACCATGCATTTCTCTCATCTTGCAAGTTTTTCAGTGTGCTCTATTTTCATATCTATGCATCTGTCTTCCACTCAGATGGATTTACACTCGTGTGAAGATGCAGAGGGACCATGACGAGGAGGTGGGGATTACGTACATCCCCCCTGTACTGCCATCTTAAGAATCTTTTTAACAAATATACTGTATCATGCAGCATTATTTACTGTTGATGCTTAGAACTTTATTCCTGCTTTCAAAAGTGTTTCCCTTTACATTTTTTGTAGCAGTTGGCGTGTTGCTGTATTCCTGCTGCACTACTCTAAAACCGTTTGTTGTGCCCGTCTTTTAAAGAATGCATTCCCTTTTAAATCCATATTTCAGCTAAATCAGTGTTAATAGTACACGGGATTGGATTTGTAGCCGTAACGTCTATTAGCATAGCTGATCCGTTTTTAATATTGTCCCAACAACCATAATGCTCTACATCAACATTCCACTGCAAGAAAAAGTTGCAGGGAGATATTTTTAATATATATCTTTATGCTTTTTTATATTACATATGGCTGCACACTTTACAAATGGTCTTTTAATTAATCAGTTGAGGACAAACGGTTGTATCACTTATACGCTTCATCACAAATGATTCATTTGTCAAACTATCACTGCCTCACTAGTTTCATCATATTTGATGAGATCAGATTTGTATTTGCCAAAGCAGCTGAATAAGCTCAACGTTACTTAAACAGTGATGATATTTGCACAGCCATTAGGTTAGCTATCCTTTTTGGTGCACAGATATATAGTTAGTGAGGCTGTGGAAGCAGACAGAAAGCAAGTAGGACCAAAGCCCAGTAGCCATGCAGTAACCCCCCCAGGTCCAGTCAGGACCCCGAATTGGTGTTAACGTGACCCTAAGCTGTGGAAGTGCGGAGACTCGTAATGCAGCACCAATGTGTGCCCTTTCAGTGTCCTGTCATCCCTAAGTCATTTCCTGCACATATAAAAACTGATATATATATATATATATATAAAATATTTCTAATATATATTCCTAGGTATGTTTATACTGTTGGATATTATAGTAAATAAATAATGTTAGCATATCTATATCTGTATTAGATATTGGGTATTATTTTATACTTTATACTAGACAAAATGTATGTATATTTTACATATTATAATATATTTTAAATACACTGCAGGGTTTGAATGCAATAATGTGTGCAAAGTAATTATATCCGATACAATTGATTTGAAGGATATAGTGGTTATGTCCTGTCATTGTATGTCTTTGATCCTTGTGTTATTATACCAAATGATTTACTAATTTGTTTAATATTCATTCATGTAATCACAATCCATTCTCTATTAAAGCCACCTTTGATTAAAAAAACTTTTTGTTTTTATTATCGTCGTAAAGTGTAGGCGAGTGTGTGTATTTATAGTAACAGGGTGTGTTCTAATCTGGTGAGGTGCCCCAACCAATCAGATGGTCTATTCCTATGGTGTGAGGAGTTTTAATAGGAGGTGGTGATGAAAGTTTTCCGATATCTGTCATAGGAAAACCCCATAACAGCTGAACTAATTGTCCTAGCTACTCTCACTACTCAGCCTACTTTCTCTCTATCTAGGCATTTGAAGATTAAACTCAGCTGTAAAAACTTTATCTCACACGAGATTACTGCTAAACACTTAACTAAGAGGGTTGAGAGCTTGTAAATGTTACTTTATATTGAGTGAGAACTTAAAGAGGTTTTTTTCTTTAAGTACTTTATATGAAATAGTCTACAGTACATGTGTCTCAGCAACACATACTTGTTAGTGTGGAACCTATACACAGTTATTTATTATTTAACGCACTTCTGATTCACTCATGAACTTTCATGACGCAAGGTGATTTGGTGAGGTGTGCCAACATTCACATGGTGTGACCTACTGTATGTGTAAGCAATGTAGGCTAGCTGTTTGTTATGATGTAAGTGAGTAGACAGACTTTTTAATGCTTTTTTATCTAAATGAAATCGGCTTTTGTTGTGTTTTGGTCATAAATAGCAGGGGTATACGTTACGTATACACTTTTGAATAACAGTTATGTCTCATGATCCACCGACCAAACAAAAAGGGTGTGGCCTTCTGGGAAATAGTCTCACTTTAAAAGAAATCGTCATGTGAGGTTACCCTTCCAGGCTGCAAACAAAAATGCTTTAGCAATGCTGGAATTCCCCTTTTATGTATGGTACACTCATGCATCTGACCATTCATCTGAAACTATAGTAGATTGGACTTTCAAACGTTTTCCTGCCCCTGTATCCCACCACAAGGTATCTTTGTCTGTGAGTGGTCGTGTGTTAAGGACAACGTACAGCAAGACATTTGGAAATGTTGAGGTGTTTTTCTGGTTAACAAGTGTTAAAATGAGCCACTTTCAAGGTTCAGTAATTGTTCAAATGTTTATGGTTTGAATCCTTGCTGTGAATAGAGCCACACACTGGAAAAAAAATGCTGCTCCAAAAATAAGTTAAACACTATTGAAAACGATAGTTACGTATGTAACTACGGTTCTATGAATACTGGATGACCGCCAGAGGCGGTGCTTTAGCACTGGATATCTTCCGTCTCGCGCANTGTGTGTGTGTGTGTGTGTGTGTGTGTGTGTGTGTGTGTGTGTGTGTGTGTGTGTGTGTGTGTGTGTGTGTGTGTGTGTGTGTGTGTGTGTGTGTGTGTGTGAACACACACACACACACACACACACACACACACACACACACACACACACACACACACACACACACACACACACACACACACACACACACACACACACACACACACACACACACTAAAATGACAGTGCTCAGATTGGGCCCCTGTTGAAAGGTACATGAAACGACTCACGCAGACACAGGTGATTGTTTTTGTCCCGGGGTAGGAGGTTGTCAAGAGTTTTTTCTGTCGTGTTTAGGAGAGATATCATTCTTGCTTGTCAGTCCCAGGTGCAGAGTAGGGATTTTAAATGACACTGAGATGCTCCACAAATAGCTTTCCTCCATCGTTTAATCATCATGCTGTATACCAAAGTGACCGGTGCACGGGCCAAATGGGGAGGAAGGCCCAAAACGATGGAGGAAGGCTATAATGAATGTGTGCCATCTGTCCTTCCTCTCCCCTTGGAGCATTAGCACTGTGCTCAAACTTCACAGCGGGATAGTCTCACACTCGGTTAACTAATGGCTAAGGGATAAGAGGCGTGGATATAATAAACAAATAAAAGCAAAGGAGGAAAAGTTTGGGCGGTTTAAGAACCGTAGCTGCAGGCTGCACAATGGAGATTTACGGGCTAATGTTTGGGAGGGAGGGCGACGGGGAAATTAGGTGTCTAGGCAAATCCATTACTTTTATTGGTCGTCTGTCTTATGAGCAGATGTCCATGGGAGGAACGATCCAATGGGGTGCGAGATACAACCAGATGCTTTACGTCTCCACACCATCCTGAGGTCACAGCTGGACTCACCTTGCGCAGTCGGCCTTCTAATTGCTGCAGTATTTACCTCATGTTCTACAAATGGCAGAATATATCATAGAGTATTAGCAGTTTACTGGCCAAGCATCACAAAGGAGTGGGGTTGTATGCTTTGTTTTTTTTTGCACACAAATAAAGAGAAGCTTGTGGCAATAAATTCAAAGGTTGAGGTTGTCGGGTTAGGGTTGGCCCACCGATGTACAGGAAGAAAATCCTGTATGAGAAGTGAGCTCCAAATGATCATTCTTAACGGCCAGGAACAGTTCTTCCATGACAGGGGATTTAAAATTAAGCAGGTGGGAGAAATGTAACTGTTGCATAAATCAGAAGGTGACAAAGAAAAGCCTGAAAGATGAAGTAGAAATAAAATCTAACTTTAGGATGACTTAAGAAAAGAATAGAGATTTGTCCTCAATCTGCCAGAATTTAGGAGAAATTATTCAACATAAGCCTTTTGCGTGTAAAAATGATTTAAAGTCCAACATCTCCTGGATCAATGTAGAATTTTAGAAAAGTTATTCAAACTTGGATTGTAAGCTTGAGGCCAATAGAGGTTAGGCAGCTTTAAGCGTGCAAGCTGCAGCAGGCAAGTGAGATCTGTTGACATTTACTAGGGAGAATTGGTGTTTGTCTCAAAGTCAGACATACAGCTGATGGCATGCTCCCGAGGGAGGATAGATTGATGAGACATACTGCTGTCTTTACACACACACACATAACACTACCTTGGAATACCATACCTGCTCTTAAACGTGCATCCACCCCGTGATGGATGAGAACAAATAACAACTTTAGTTTTAATTTAGCTGATACGGACAAGCTAAAGTATTTCAGACCTGGGACCAGCAGGCTGAGTCAGGGACACAGGGTGTGTTAGGAAGAGTGTAGTTGAGGAGCACTGACCTGTATATGGAGATATTTTCTATCATCTGGTTGGAGGCACTGTCGTAAAGGATGATTCCTCTTGGGGAGACCGTTAATGTGACTTTCTGGAGTTTTTTCCCACTTGCTTTGGCCTGGAGGAAAGGGAAAAGGAAAGTCAATCCAGTGAAAAGTTTAAAAAAATGAAAACAAATATTTATTTGTTTTGACAGTACTTTCTGCTTTATGTAGACAAGAGATTTCTAACATTTCTCTCTGTAAAAACCTTTGAATCTATTATGGCAACAAACGGAAACAAGCATTTTCAGGGTGGCTTTGCGAAATGTTCAGATTTCTATTCCAGAAATGTATGCAAATAAGTACCTGTTTATTGAAGAGAAAGCCACATTTGCATGTTTAATCAAATATCTCTGAAAACATGAATAAAAATGTACCTTATTTTTATGTCCCCTCTTAACAACCCTACAAACACCTCCTCAGAAATTAAGTGTGTGCGAGTGAGGGATATCCAGAGTGAATTACTTCCTTTTGGCCTGACAAAATATTTCTTTAAGCCAAGTGCACTAGAGGACCTATTACAGGAAATTGATAACTTAAAAATATCCCATTCGGCAGAATAACATCATTTTTTCAGAGGCATACAAGGGCGGCCAACAGATTAGGCCCAATCAGGGCCCACGCCTCCCTCCCCATACATCACCGTGTCCCACCACTCTGCTCCCGCTAACTTCATTATCCAGTGAGCTGCCAGATCCAATAACATTAAGCCCTTTCTACCATGATAAAGCAGGCTGAGCCATATACTGAGCAACAGTGTCCAAACTAATCACATCCTCTTCTAAATGTCATCGGGGCCACGGGGGAGGAGAGCAGGGAGCCAAACAGTCACTTTTCACAGAGGTGTCATCCAGGTCAGAAGCAGGAGGAAGCTACTGGGCGAGTATGATTTTCAAGTTGTGCAGGCGGGGAGGTGGGAACAAAGTGGAGAGTTGGAGAGAAACACATTTTGTGAATAGGCAGTGTTGTGTGTGTGTGTGTGTGTGTGCGTGCGTGCGTGCGTGCGTGCGTGCGTGCGTGTCATCTCTCACCGTGGCCACTATCCTCTTGACAGCGGCCGCAGACAGCTCCTCTCCTTTGGGCTGCTCAACCATTGTGACCCCCAGGTACTTGAGCTGGAACACCATCCCCTCCAGAAGGGTCTCCCTGGTGTCCGTCCAGTTCTCTGGAAGCTCTGCAGAGGAGACATAAGAGACATACATCAGTGACTCAGTGCTCATCAGCAACCCGGCTGTTTCTACTGTAAGGCAGGCTGAGAGAGATTCTGTGAGACAACATGTCAGTACAGAACAGCAGTCACTCTAGGGACGACACTGAATTAACATTTCATGTCACCTTTATCCCCGCACAAATGATTGCTATTCAGAATATTAACCCAATAGTACTCTTAAAATGGAATCACTTTACCGCCTTGCATTTTGTTAAGAAACGGGTAATTTTATTGCATCACAGAAAGGACATACATCTATTCGGGTTGAAAAACAATTAAACAATTATTATTATGTATTTATTTCAAAAAGTAACATGCATACAATTACATTAATCTCAGAAAAGAGAAGAGATGAATTATGCCAGATTTTTGCTAACAGCTCATTTCCATCAGCAGTCTTTAGGGTCCAATCTCAAATAATGATTTGTATTTATTTATTTTTATTATAAAAACAGGGCCTTTCTTTTGGTGACTTTTTATAATAAAGATAAATTATGAATAAATAAATGAAAATGAATTAAAAAAAGACCCCCTCACATTAATACATGATAAATAAATAGAAAAGAAGAATAGGACATTTTGTCTGTTGTTTCTAAACATGTATTCCTGTTTTGTTAGTATGGGGTATATCTTTCACTTTTCTACCAAGATAGTGAGTGTTTTTCATCCAATATTCACTTTAATATCCTACTCTTCCCCCCCCCCATCCCTAATTGCCTCATCTAAACACCCAGCTGATGACTTTAAAACTTTTTTAAAAAAGGTGTCAAACAAAGGTTCAAGAGATTAAACTGGTCCCTGTTAACTGTTTGCCAACACTCATTTACAATCCTGCCAATTATGTCCGACGAAGTTATTGGTAAATGTATCTCCTCCAGTGTTCGATATGATGACACTTAACTAGATTGGATACAACAGCAGCCAAATCATATCCTCATTATGGGTGCGTGTAAATGAGCTCTTGCTTTTTGCTATTCCTCTAGACAAAAGCAAGAGCTCCTATGTAATGGATATTGGCTGAACAAATGAGAAATATGTGAGCATACTGTTTTAATGGTCATCTATTTGGCCAGCTAAATTGCTTTTGTGCCAGGCTGAACAGCATGGTCAACTCTTTCTCTCCACAAATATTACTGATGATGTACTTCTTTGTATGTTGGTCCACGATGTAAAAAGTTTCACCGTTTTGAGCTAGGTGTCAAATACAGGTTCAAGAGATAAAACGGGTCCCTCTTGAATTGTTGTACTCATTTACAATCCTGCCAACTGCTGCCGGTGAAGTCATTCATAAAAGATATCTCCTCCGGCGAACGAGACAGTGAAGCTTATTCAGGACTCAATATTGTACATTTTGTCTGTAGCATGAAACTCTGAGGCTGTGGTTTGGATTTCTTTTATCGGAGGAAGACTGTGAGCTGCTTGAGGCGATGCTCTTCTCTCCATATAATATCAATAATCTGAAGAAAGCCTGGGGCGCCTGCTGGTCCTAGGACTACTCCACAACGATGGAGCAGTGAAAGGGAATAGAGGAACTTGTGAGAACTGACCTGCATTTACCTTTACATCAAATCAATAAGACCAAGATGTTCAGCAGCTTTCAAACTGACCAAAGAGTTAGAATCTCCTTAATGTTAATAAGAGGTTAATGGAGGTGCCACTATGAGGTGTGATAGTGAGTTGGGGCACAATGTCATGCCCTTCACCCCTGGGTGGGCTTAGTGTGACCCTGTATCTTCAGGGTGATCTAAATAGATCCCTGTGGTTTCACACTGTGTTTTTGTTTGAGTGAAAGCAGTTATTTGGCGTTAAAGAGTTCTGCTCAAGTGCAATATAACTCTTTAGAGAACGGAGAGAGATTGAGTATTCACGTCGGTTATACATTTGAGCCTATACCAGAGACTCTTCAAAATATAGACAGAAGTGCTAGTAAACGTTTTTTAGGAAGAAATGCCAAAAATGCACTTATCCAAACTTTGAGTATTACATTATGGTAAACTGAGCAGTTGGGTTTTTTGACAGACTAAAGAAGACATTTAAATCAATATGGGCACTTAGAAAATTGTGATTGACATTTGTGTCTACAATTGATATGCAATTGGATTAATCTGCTTATGCTCAAATAAAGGTTTCAGTATTTGTTCCCATTATAGCTCGAGTATTACTTCTTCTGCCAAGGAAGCTATGTTTTGAGTCCTGTTCACTGGTTTGTTTGTCTGTCAGCAAAATCCTATGAATACATACTAGCTTGATTTTATGACACTGAGCAGATACAGTACACATTTTTGTTTTACTTTTAGAAACTAGGCAAGATCTGCGTTCTACAAAAGGCCTTGTAGTAATCTTTTGGGAAACAATAGAAGACGTGTGCTACTAATTTCTCATCTGCAAAATGTCCAGTACCCGGGCAAGTAAAATAACTACTTTTAAAGTGATATAAATCCTTTTTTTACTTTGTGAACCCCATCACTTGGCCTAAGAACCCCAATTATATAGGGAATCGCTTGGAACCTGTGGCAGAGGCCAACATATTATATTCCCTTTTACAACGTTCAAACCAAGCCAACTCTGAGTGGTTATGGTTATAATTCTCTAAATGCAGCTCCAACCAAACCCATCCTTAAGTAATGGGTGTGTCTGAAATGAACACCCACTTCAAGGTCTTTGGGCTCATAAGAGTGGGTAAAACACCAGGCTGTAGTCCTGTGGTTGCATTAGTGCCTGTATAAGTATCACCCTAACTGTAATATGACCTCAGGCGAGGAATCATTAGCTCCTATTCACAGACTAAATCAAGTAACCAAGTGGTCCAAGTAGACTAATGAGTGTCCATTACGAGGTGTGGCCACTTAAGACATTAGCAGACACAAATAAGATGGGGATAATACAGGCTCATCCTCAGCTAGCATGACATTATAACCGTTAGTGCTAGCTCCTGTTATTTCAATCAACAGTGAACTTGAGTCCAGATATTTTCAGCGTTTACCAAAGGCAACATTGCTGACAGGTCTGCTTCACTGAATTTTAAGAATCTGTCAGAAGTGCTTTGAAAATACTCAGAATGATTCAAGGTTTAGGCGAGATGTCATTCGCATAAAAGACTCAGCCGCCGCTGCAGGCCTGTGCTGGTCCGGCAGAGATTTCGGAAGCAAGCCTATACTTCGACTGCCCATACTAATGCGTGCAGGAGGCAAGTCTCTAGGGATGACCAGCCGTTCACACTGACTGCAGTCTTAGAATCCCCCATCCCATGAGACACTGAGGAAGCTATCGTATAAGATTAGACAACGTCTGCAACTGCAGTTTATCTCCATTATAAAAAATGTGCTATTCTTTTTTGGATAAAACATTAGAATGTTCCATGAAATGTCAGAAACGTGTTGCATCTCAGTGTTTCTATCAGTCAAAGTTGGTGTCTTTAAATGTGTTTGGTCCAATATCCAAAGATATTCTCTTTGACTAGGATAAATAAAACTGCAAAATAAGAATTAGAAATCCTTTCCTAGTCCCACAGCATGAAATGTACAATGTTACTGCAAAGAAACAGTGCAGACAAAAAGGCCAAAATAAGATTAGTACAGTAACATATTACGCAGGAAACTCCCGTAGAAAATGTGAAGGATTAATCAATAAATGGCATGATGTATCACACATTGATTGACTAAACGTTTGGTTGACAAATTGTCGCAAATCTATTGGCAGCTAAAGAGAGATCTTCAGCCTGCCTGAATCACATGAGTAGATGAATATTCGGCACAAATAATAAGTGAGCAATGAAACAACGACTTGGCTGTTCAAATGAGCAACTCGTAAACCAGAGCTATTTTTAGACCGGTGCATATACCCAGAGTGCTGTTTTCTATATGATATAATAATCCATTTTGGTCACATTTGCATTTACACAACCAACCCCCCACCCACTACCAACACCACCAGCAGTACCAGCCCCCACCCTGGCCGCTCTCTGCAGCTGCGGTGCTGATTAGAGCAAACTTCAAAGGCTACTGGAGCTACGGCTGGTCAGTGAGCGCTGCTCACATGGGCGACACCGCCTGTAAATAAGCCAGAGAGCCGGCAAGGGAGCACTAATGTTCGCTGAGTGGGGAGGGGCATGGGGAGGCAGGTGTAGGGCAGCAACTGCATCAGTGGGTGGAAGACGTGTGAGGGTTTGTTCAGCCAATTATCTTCAAAGGGAAGCGTTGATAATGAACTTGTTCAGGTTCCTGCTCAGCAAGTCCTCACAGGGCCAGGTGTCCAGCTCACCACCTCTAAACGCACCAACCACTACTAAACATTTGAACCACACTCCATCAGAGATGGAATGTAGAACAAGGGAAATAAGTGCTATGGACAAAGACTCAGGAACACATCAAATATGTGCACGTTGACTGCCAAATGATGGGGGATTAAATATACCACTTGGATTAAGTCCCAGTTACATCGAAGCCCCTTAAATAGAACTGTGACAATCGCCTTTACTCATTGTTTGATCAAAACCTACCCTCAAACACACTTCATTTAAAAGTTTCACCTTAACTTTGACTAAATGCAGAATGAGTTGTAACACTTTGTTCTCAGCAGAGAGAAACCCACTTCAAAGATCACATCCATCATCATCAAGAGAAGGGTCTTATCTTGGCAAACATGTTTACTGAAGTATCAATGTCATGGTAGTGTTTTTCATAGATAAGATATAATAACTTTTTTAAGACAAATGTTAGTGTCAATGTCCACAAATAATGTTTTCTCCGAATTTGTCTGAAGGTCAAGTCATGCTTTGTTTTTTTTAAAGCACCACCAAACTTTAGCACAAAAGGAGAATGGGGAAATTCTTACATGACAGAATGAGAAGTTGTGTTTCATGTTAAGGACTAACCATATATTTCCAAAGAAAGAAGAAGTTATCTGACCTCGTCTAATTGTACATATATCTTAAGGCTAGTTAGTTCTTGACATGATAAAAGTTG